AGGCTGGGCTTTGACGATGTTTGCTCTCGCCACACCAGGCGCCCTGAGCCCTCGCCACTCAGGTCCGCGCTGTGTGACCCCGTCTGGTAACCTATATCCGTGAATTAGCCGTCCTTAAAAGAAAAGAAAAGAAAATGGTGCTACAGTAAAGTTCCACTCGCACGTTGCAGGCTTCCTCTAACATGCTCTTACAGACTTGCTTCACTGGGCTTAGTGAATGAAAGTGTACCCTGGGCAACGCTGCCGGTCGGGGAGACTCGCGCCAAGTGTCCCAAACCCCAAAGTATGCTCGACAGGGCCATGGTCTGCATAACGGATAACTGCCGCAAATTCGCACACAGTGCTGTCTGTTGTACGGTAGACAGTCGGAGAGGAAGCTGTCTTGGTAAAGTCTGGCCAAAATAAGACAGCCGGCCAGTATTTTATCTGCATTTCACGCATACGTGTTTCAGTACGCCTGGCTCGTTTAATTAAAGCGTAGGGAAGTCACCCAGCACCGTGTTTTGAGAATCGCTAAAATAAATTAATATTAGAACTAGGTCGTGTTTCCTTATTTTTGATAGGCTGTTCAGAAATGTCACCATTCTGTGATAGGTCAAATTAAATTTAACTTGAAACGTTTAGATGTGAAAGACAGAGGCTTCCCCCTAGTGGAGGTGAGTCATAAAACGAGGCTTTTGTAAGTCTCACAGTTCAACATGTCCAGATTTTCCAACAATATAGAGAACTACTGAAAAATATTGCCACCGATAAACAGAAATTAAAAATTTGTTTCATAAAACGTTTTCCTTTGAATTTTAGTTTTGTTTTTAAGTTTGCATGTTTAATGAGTCTTGTTTTTCATTATCCCTATACATTTTTGATTTAATGTCTTCAGAGCTGGCTGTCAACAGTGTGCAGTCTGCATGGTCCCTTCAGAACCCCGTCACCCTCAGGGTTTTAGGTTACTAGGAAAAGTTGCTGTTGGAGCTAGGTTTGAGTCATAATGTATTTAGCTTTCCTCTTATCAGCAGGTTCAGTTCTGGCTGGTATGGATAAAGATGCATGTGCTTAGACTTAAATGGAGACTTATTTCAGTCAGCCCTAAGAATTTCACAGACTGATGAATCAATTTTCATATTTTGCTTTTACCCACAAAGTGGATTATAGATATACAGTGACAATTATTAGAGAAAGAAGACTTTGTATCATTAAGTTATCAAATGTCAATGAACAAAAGTTGAAGATGTGTGTGTGCTTTCAAAAATAATTTTATATAATATGAATATTAGTATTTGTTTTGATACTCAGATTTAAAATATAGCCATTTCCATTTATTAATAAGTAATTTTGGAAATAGTATTTTTACTGACCACTTAATATACATAACTGACCTTATAGAGTATATGTAATTGATATTATAGAGGAATCATAATTTATTGACTTTTTGCTGACACTCAAGTAAGTTCTGACTTTTCACAATTAAAAATAATGCTAGAATGAATGCAAATTTTAGTGTATATTTCTGACTCAGGATTCATTCTAAGAAAATAAATTGCTAGATCAGAACGTGTCCCAGTTTTTGCTGTGATAAAACACTGACCAAAAGCAAGGGAAGGAAGGGTGTCTCTGGCTTATGCTTTTAGCTCACATTTCATCACTGATGGAATTCATGATAGGCTCTCAGGCAGACACTGTGGCTTATTCTTAGTTAACATTTTATATGACACAGGACCACTTGCCTAGAGATGGCACTACCCACAGTAGGCTGGCCCCTTCCATATCAATAAACAATCTAGACAATCCTCACAGATATGGCCACAGACCAATATCATCTGGGCAGTCACTCCATTGAGCTGCCTTCATGTAACCCCGGGCTGTCAACGTGGCAGCTCAAGGTAGACAGGACAGTATCGGTGTATTACAACTCTCAAAACATAACTTGCCTTTTGGAAAAACTATACAATGACCCTCAGTAGTACGTGTAAATACCGTTTCTTCAGTCCGTTGCCATTACTGTCAACGAATGGTATTTAATTCATGTACGTGATAGTCAAAGATCTTTGCCATAAATGGAATTTAACGATCTAAATTTGTATTTTTATTACGGATAGAGTTTAACATTTGTAGGCATCTCTTGGCCATTTGGGTTATTTGCTTTGTTTGTAAATAACGTGTTCATGTAAAAAAGAAATGTCACTCTCCAGATTTTCAGAAACAACAAATATGTCATCTGAAATGCTGCCAGTGTCTGTTGAGACTCCTAATGTGGAAAAAGAGCCAGGCGTGAGTGAAGGTGATGAGGAGAGACACAAGCCAAGATTAGATGCAGGGACTGAGCCAATATCTAAGCGACAAATGAAGAAGCTGATGAAGCAAAAGCAGTGGGAAGAGCAGCGAGAACTGCGCAGGTTCGTGCTTCAGAGTGTGCCCTCTGCGTGCTTCGGAGTGCCCTGCACCTTATTCAGGGGTGGGGTCTCGGGGCCTGTTCATAGTTGTCTTCCTCACAACTCAAGTTAGGAAAAAGTAAGATTTCGCATGCGATTAGCTAACAATGAGTGTCTGTTAAAAGCACACATGCTTCAAATTGTGACTTCGCTTTCTGCAATACTGGTAATGTGAGTCTCCGCATCTTTTCTCCCCTAACACTGCCTGAACAGCAGGACACCTGTTAGAACAGCTGAGACAAGGCAGCCGGTATCAGTGTCCTAGATACAGGATAAAACAACAACACAGGAAGGTCAAACGTTGGCCTGACATGGATGTGGCTAAAACAGGTTTACATGAAAGCATTTAGGCTGCAGCCAGGTCTCTTGCCAAAATTTATAAGAGTAGAAAAATGTTGGGCTTTTCTTTTTGTTATTTTAGTAAATTTAGTGAAATTTTCTCTTTAATATTTATTCCCAATGATTATTGAGCTAGAAAATCATTTAGTGGATGAGTTATGAAAGTAAAATTCTTCTTAACTCTTTAAGTTTTTCTTGGGCATAATATAGTATCAGTAATGAAACTACTGAATAATATATTCAGTTATTCATTAAAGAAAGCCTTATATTTGCAAAGTCATGTCCTCCACATATAAAGTTATTGCATGGAGTAAATAAAGTTGCTACTATCTGACTCTTTTCTACCCACGGAAGAGAGATGCTTCATAGGACCATGACTTTATAAACATAGTTGGTTTTTTGTTTAATTAGAAGTCTTGTGAATGTCTAAATACACAAATAAAACATTTTGTTTACTAATTTTAGGGAAAAACGAAAAGAAAAGCGCAAGAGAAAGAAATTAGAACGACAACATCAGCTGGAATCCGGTTCAGATGGAAGTGACAGGAAACGCATTCGAAGAGATGGTGTTCATAGCAGCCTCCGCCTTGTCATCGACTGTAGTTTTGATGATTTGATGGTGCTAAAGGTATTATGAGATCTCTGTATGTGAACTAGGTTGAATCAGTCTTATTCTCTTATGTAGTATTACAGATAGTATTAATATATTAAACTACATCTTAAGGCTTTCCAAATCTCTTACTCCCAAATTAAGTGCTGTGTGTGATACATGTATACATACTTATGTATATGTCTGCATGTGCATAGAGACATTTACTCATAATTAGATAGTAAAACTTTGTAACTACATGTTAGTCATAAAGATCTATGGAGTTACATGATACACATGTCTGTAACCCTATTACCCGGGACACTGATGCAGGAGGATCTCAGAGTTTTAGGCCAACCTAGGATATATAGCACATTTGAGGCAAGCCAAGGACTATTTCGTGAGATCTTGTTTTAGAATTTATTTTAAAAAAGTCCGTAGCATGACTGGAGAGATGAGATGGCTCAGCAGTTAAGAGTACTTGCTGGTCATGCAGAGGATCCAGGTTTGGTTCCTAGCACCCATGTGGTGGCACACAACCGTGTGGAACTTCAGTTTCAGTGCTTCTGACCCCCTCTTCTGGTCTGTCCATGGTGCACAGGCACATACCCAGGCACGCAAACACACACAAATTTTGTTTTAAATGTTGCATTTTACCAGTGCCACTGGGGTAAAGTGTAGAAATAGCAAGATCCTAAAAAGAAGGTTTTGTTGTTGTCTGTTAAGACAGTGTTAGCTAGCATTTTGAATTGATAGAGACTTTAAAGGGTAAAAGGCCAGATGAATTATAGAACATTAACTTTACTTACAGTCATTTTGTCAGTATGTAGGAAAGTCAAATGAAAACTATCACAACAGTGATAGTTTGAGACAGGGTTTCTCTGTGTAACAACCTTGTCTATTCTGGAACTCACTCTGTAGACCAGGCTGGCCTTAGACTCACAGAGATCCGCCTGCTTCTGCCTCCCAAGTGCTTGGATTAAAGGCGTGTGTCACAGCCTCTCCAGCTGTCCTTCGATTTTAAAAGAAAGATTTTTGCCTACCTAACCATTCCTTCTGCTTTTTCTATTCCTGTAATACCACAGAATGGCCTTAGGTGATTTTGATAACTGTTTTTTACATTATGCAATTTTATAGGATATTAAGAAACTTCATAAGCAGATTCAACGATGCTATGCAGAAAACCGGCGAGCATCACACCCTGTGCAGGTGTGTATGAAGGGAAACTCAGTTTTCTTGGCCATCCACCATGTTGCCCTTACACGAGAGTCTTAGAGGTTTCTTGTATCATGTTTATGTGATCATTTTTTTTCCTACAAAAATACTTTGAACATGAGTCACCAGTCTTGTACATTTCGGTGTCTGTTCACTGCTGTGTGGTTGAGCATCTTTGTTTTAGGACGTGTGCATGTCTTCACACCAGGTTCTCAGCTCTGACTCCTTCCAGCCACGGGACGTGGGAAGGGAGGGAGGGAGGCTGCCCCTGTACCGATGTGTACAGCAGGGCCTCTTAGCTGTGGGTCTTTTACATTTCCTCTTGAGCCTCTGACAGTTCTGAAAAGGATTTCTTAAACTTAGTTGGGAGTGATTGTGGAGAGTAGTTGACTGCTGCTGTGACTCCTTCCTCAGACATGGAGAACCAAGAACTTCCCGTGTGTACTGTGCTTAGATGTGTTGTCTTACCACATGGAGTAGTATGGACTGTGTTTTCATATAATTCTGTACCTGCCTCAGTAACAGTCTTTATATATACATATACACACATACATAAATATATACATATACACGTATGCACACAATTATACATATATATGTATATATACACACATGTAATTTTTTTTTCCTTTACAAGGCCCTCAGCATCTTTGATTCAGGTGTAAAGTAGGTGTCAGGGAAGGCTTTACAGCAGCAAAACTACCAACAGTAATAGTGGCAGCAGCCCCTCCCCCCTGGGGTGGGGTGGGGATAAGAACCTGAGGAAAGGGAGGGAGTTTGCAGCATGATCCTCAATGGCAGACAGATGACAACTTCTGAGCTAAGAAGTGGGAAGAAAATGTGGGTGGGATGCCACAGCCAGTGGGTTAATACAGGCCCTCTCTGCCCCCTAGTTAACACAGCCCTCTCTGCCCCCTAGTTAACCACAGGCCCTCTCTGCCCCCTAGTTACCACAGGCCCTCTCTGCCCCCTAGTTACCACAGGCCCTCTCTGCCCCCTAGTTACCACAGGCCCTCTCTGCCCCCTAGTTACCACAGGCCCTCTCTGCCCCCTAGTTACCACAGGCCCTCTCTGCCCCCTAGTTACCACAGGCCCTCTCTGCCCCCTAGTTACCACAGGCCCTCTCTGCCCCCTAGTTACCACAGGCCCTCTCTGCCCCCTAGTTACCACAGGCCCTCTCTGCCCCCTAGTTACCACAGGCCCTCTCTGCCCCCTAGTTACCACAGGCCCTCTCTGCCCCCTAGTTACCACAGGCCCTCTCTGCCCCCTAGTTAACACAGGCCCTTTCTGCCACCTAGTCCAGGGTTGCTCAGGGTTGATGACAATTCTTTTTTCTAAATCAGTGACAAATATTTTGTCTTGCACTGGTCATCTGGTGAGTGATGAGGGAAGTAAAATACTGAACTAAACTGATCATTTTCCTTCTTTTTTTCTGCTTACCTCAGTTTTATTTGACAAGCCATGGAGGTCAGCTGAAGCAGAACATGGATGAAAACGACAGAGGATGGGTCAATTGGAAGGTAGACAGCAGCCCCTCTCGTGATGCCTCATCACCTCTAGGCCCTTGAAAGGCCTCTTTGTTTTACCTGAGTTCTCAGTAATGGTGTGTGCCAAACCTCTGTGTCATTGCTCTCATGTCTAGAGGTGTGCGCCAACCCGTGTGTCATTATAGCCATGTCTAGAGGTGTGCGCCAACCCCCTGTGTCATTGCTCCCATGTCTAGAGGTGTGCGCCAACCCCGTGTGTCATTGCTCCCATGTCTAGAGGTGTGCGCCAACCCCCTGTGTCATTGCTCCCATGTCTAGAGGTGTGCGCCAACCCCGTGTGTCATTATAGCCATGTCTAGAGGTGTGCGCCAACCCCGTGTGTCATTATAGCCATGTCTAGAGGTGTGCGCCAACCCCGTGTGTCATTATAGCCATGTCTAGAGGTGTGCGCCAACCCCCTGTGTCATTATACTCATTTCTAGAGTTACTTGGGGGAGAAGCTGAAGAGCAGAATGAGATGTCTGCTCATTTGTGTTTATTCTCATAAGTCTTGTCTGCTGTTAGAGCCACTTCTTTATAAAAGAAATACCTAAAAGCCTCATTCTAGAATTTGAAAGTGTCTCTATATCTAAATTCGTGCTGTTCATTTTGTGACCAGTAGCCAAACGTGGCTGTAGACTCCTGAGATGTGAGAATCTGGATCATGAATTGGCGTGCTGTAAATGTGAGATGCATGCTGAATTAGAAAGTGGGCGTGAGGACATGACATAGACATAGTATGTTAAAATATTTTAAAGTTAATTTGTCTATTTTTAATTTTTTAGTGTGGCTTCTAGCAGATTTAAAATTATTTGTGATGTATACTTTCCCTGTTTTAGGTATTTATAAAGGTGTGGCCAGTTTGGCTGGGTACTGTTCTGTTCTGAAGGGTGCTATGTTGTGCCTGTACATGTTTGCTTACTGTTTGCGTTAGGCTCTCCCAGTATACAGCTTTCCCCACTGGCGCCTACTGATCTAATAGTTGCTTTCAATGAGAGCAGACATTTGCAAGAAGATTATCCTTAGCAAGTCTTTTAGGTTCATGTCTCTTTTCCTAAGAAATAATGAATATGTTAAACAACCATACTTTATAGTTTGTGTCTTACCAAGCTTATTATTTACACCCTCACTTTTCTAGAGAAATACAGATTCAGTGACTTCCAGTTACTCAGATACCTCTTGAGGCTAAGTATAGGAATCAGATTTATAGCATACTGTTTTCCAGAAAAGAAATTATATTAATCAGTAGCATACAATTTATGTGTCTACTTCACTTGATTTTCTTTAAAATTATTGTATAAAAGTCAGGGACTGAAAAATCATTCAAGCAATTAATGTGACTTGAAAAATCTGGGCTGCCAGCTCTTAGTCTTGTATCCATGAACTGACAAAGAAGCTTCAGACACATTCAATTCATTAAATTGACAAGCAGTTTCCTTTGGATGATTGACATAGGAGGTGTCAATCCAATAATTGGAAAAGGCATTTCTTGTCTGGAGAACAGTGTGACCAGAGATAAAATGAGCAAGATAGACTAGTGCCATATTCAGGAAAGAGTTCTTAAGTTAAGGAGTTTGGAGTTGACTCAGGATTTAGCTTTACTCCAGACAGTTTTGGACAGGTATCTTTTGGGAAAAGAGGATAATCATTTTTAGCCAGCTTTTGCAGTATCCTGCTAATTAATACACGCATTCTCCTTTTGTTTTTAAAGGATATCCACATCAAATCAGAGCACTATAGTGAACTAATAAAAAAAGAAGACCTGGTTTATCTGACGTCAGACTCTCCTAATGTGTTGAAGGACTTAGATGAGTCAAAGGCTTATGTGATTGGAGGGTTGGTGGACCACAACCATCACAAGGTACTGTGCTCTGTGCCCACCTACACCTGTGTCTCAGATAGTGATGACGTCCTCATGCTGGACGGTCTCTCTTGAGCACCTGCCACTGTGCTGGTGACCTTACTTGACCCTCCCTGCAGCTCAGTTGTTTTCTCCATGTCACAGGTGCAGGAATGAAGAAATTAAGCCTAAAGTAACCGTGGTGGGTAGCCAAGCAGATTACTGGAAATGACCAGATTGCTGCAGAGTCTGCGTGTCTGTCTAGGCTGTGCTGTGTTGCCGGGGGCGCTGATGCTAATGCATTGCTAAGCCATTGAAGTTTATACCAATCTTTAAAAAATAGGCTTTAGTTTGTTTTATGTGTTTGAGTGTTTTGCCTGCATGTGTGTCTGGACCTTTGCTTGCCTGATGCCCTTGAAGGTCAGAAAGTGATGTCAAGACCTCAGGAACAGGAGTTACAGACAGTTGTGAGCCACCAGTGGGTGCTGGAAAGTGAGCCCAGTGCTGGAAGAGCAGTGCTGTTAACCACTGAGTCATAGCTCCAGCTCTGTAGCAGTTTTTAAGTATATGATTCTCAAATTACTTTTTCTTTACTCATCTCATGTTTTATACAGATAAAAAGTTACAGAACTGCACTTTCTGAAGAGAACATTTTTGTGTACTTTGCAACATGTTCAGTTCATCCTATTTTTCTGAGGAAAAGGTATTTTTCTCTAAGTAAAGAAATATTGTCAGCACAGTATATGAAGGAATTGTGTATTCTTTTGCAGCAGTGTGCATGTAGAATTTCTGCCATGTCACAGGTGACCACATCTGCCTCACCAGCGGTGGCTGCATGGCTGTGGAGCACCAAGCTGTAATACAGCAGAGAAACTGGATTTTTTTTTTTTTTTTTTTTTTTTTTTTTTTTTTTTTGTGTTGTTGTGTTGATGTTTGTGGGTGTGGCTAGCCATTGGCTGAACAACTCTAGGGCAATGAAAGACCTTCTTGTCAACCTTTTTGTTATTCTCAGTGGAAAATTCTAGCTTATATGCACAAACATATTCTCTGCTCAGGTTGTGTCTGTTCCTCTAATAAAACAGCTTTGTCCTAAAGCCCCTGGGCTTCTCTCATCTTGTCTCCCCGATATGCTAAGTACTTGTTGAGAGACTCAGCTTACACTTCCTGGATGGTCTTATGAGAGCTTTCATCTGGGATAGACATAAACTTCAAGCATTTTAAGTTTGAGAAAATATAAAATTTCTATCTGCTTTGTAGTTGATGGGAAGGGAAAAATAAAACAGAAGAACCATTGAAATACTTTTCACTCAGGGTTTCATTTCTTTGCCGTTTTTGTGCCTCAGTGTATGATTGAAACTGAACTTCCTTTATTGATTTTATTCTCACAGAAAGAGTGATGGCATTTCTCTCTGGATTCAGTCGGAGAGTTTAACACTGTGAGAAAGGGGGTTAGGGAAAGAGAATAATCAGAAAACAGATCTGCTGGATTCTTTGTTCTGCCACTGAGAGTTTTCCTAACTGCTGGGAACTTCGTGTCTTCACCTCTGTGGAGGGAGGTGGCTGTACAGGGCTGGAAGTTGTCTCCTGCCGGGACTTGATGTGCACACTGCAGCTAATGTTAGACCTACCCTCTCCTAGACTGTGCACCGTCTAAGTCCCGGTCCGGCATCTTTCTTTTCAGGGACTCACATTTAAGCAAGCGTCCAGTCATGGAATTGAGCATGCCCAGCTCCCTCTTGCAGACTTTGTGAAGATGAACAGTCGAAAAGTCCTGGCAGTTAACCATGGTAAGCTGTGGAGGTGACTGAAGGTGTGCCGGGGTGAACACTGATAGAGACAGTACATTCACATTTGGACAGATAGAAAAGAGAAGTCCTTTGTTTATTAGAAGTGAGAGTGTGTACTCTAGGAAGTTTTGAGAATTACAAAAGTATAAAGACAGCTGTATTCTCATGACTCGCAGAAACTTGTTGCTAACTTATGGGTGAGTTTCCTCCCAGTTCTTCTCCTGTGGCAGGGCACTGTCAGCATTACGAATCTGGGGACCCATCTTTCTCATCTTGTCATAGTTTCCATGGGATTGATTATTAGTGACCATGTCGTAGTCCAGCCCCGTCATTTAATCATTCACTCATTGTTGAATATTTTACTTTTGTATTTTTTTTTTTGCTGTCATGAATAACATTGTGATATACCACTGCTTAGATATAATTCATTTTCTTAAGTTTGTTTAAATTATAACTAAAAAAATCCTTTAAGACAGGGTTTTGTTATGTAGATTAGGCTGGCCTTGAATAGAGAAATCCACCTGCCTCTGCTTCCATCCTGAATATTGCGATAAAAGGAGTGGGCCACCAAGCCACCCAGCTTTAAAATTTTTAAGATTTGTTTTTACTCACTGTGAATGAGTATTTTCCCTGCATGTATGTATGTATGTGTACCAAGTACATCTCTGGTGCCTGTGGAGGCCAGAAGAGGGAATTGGATCCCCTGGAACTGGAGTTATAGGCTGTTATAAACAGCTGTGTGGGTTTTAGGAACTGAACCCCAGTCCTCTGTAAGCAGCCAGTGTCTTAACCACTGAACAAGCTCTCTAGCCCCTTTATTTAATTTTTTTTAAGGAACAATTTTAGTCAGTATGCTACAACTTATAGCAGTCTTTCTGGGGTTAGAGAAATTAGATTACTTATTTAAGGAACAAATTTCTTTGAAAACCTTTGATACCTTGTGGAAGTTACTTTTCTACAAAATTATCTCAAAAGCCCTCCCATAGTGTGGTGACCCCAGGGACAGTATGGTTTCCTTTCTACTAACATGAAAGCAAGAGCGGAAAGTGGCAGAAAGCTCCTTGGAGTGATTCTTTATAGGGAAGATAGAGGAAATGAGGCCGAATGCTACGTCTGTGTTCTAGCTATGTGTTGGTACACAGAGAAGAATAAGTGACCCTGATGAAGAGTAGGATGGGACTTCAGGTGGGGCTTAGGAGGAGAAACTGAAAGAACATAAAGACTGAGAGCCATGGGGCAGTTTGTCCCTGATAGCCCAAAGGAGGAGGCGGTAAGGACTTTGCAGTCGTTAGGGCAAATAAGCACAGGGGTCACAGTATAAGGAAGGCAGTGTGCAGCATCGTGGTGACCCAAGTAAGGAGTGCCTGCCATTTGTCCTTGTCACAGTGTTTGAAATTATCCTGGAGTTCTTGGAAACAAGAGACTGGCAAGAGGCATTTTTTACAATCTTACCCCAACGGAAAGGAGCTGTTCCTGCACACAAAGCCTATGAAAACTCTTCTCAGGACCAGCAGCCCCGGCCAGAAGGATGGGACAGTTCCAGCGAGGGAGAGAACTGCAGGAATGACCCCGCCTCACCACAGAAAGAAGAGCAGGGTCCGCAGAGCAGCCCGGTGTCCTCAGTGAGTTCTGTCCCACAGTGACCAACCTTCCTAGCTGCCCTTCCAGGAGAACCTAGAGAGCGTGGCACTTCACAGGATACTCAGACTACAAGAAAGTTGATTTTCTCTCATCTCTGTTGTGGAATTTTAAATCTTGTCACAAATTAAATGATAATGAAAAACCCTTTAAGCACCAAGAAAGGATTGTTTGGTTTTGTGTAAGAAGACTTAAAGGTATGATTTCAGAGTTGTTCTAACCCTCAAATCAGAGTCATGGAGAATGTTACATATTAGTGTGCCTTCATTCTCCTCCATTCCGGGAGTCTATTCTTCAGGGTGTGCCTTCTGACCTCTTAGCTTTGCTCTTTTGTGTTCCTCTCAGTGTCTTTTTGGTCTGATCCTGTTTGGTAGAGCAGATGTTCATGAACGTTTTGTGCGGCTACTAGAATGTTGAACTTGGGAGGCGGCCCTTCTATCTGAAGCTTTTGTGTTCAGTTGAGTTCTTTTCTAAGAAACACATTATTCTGTAAGGAATAGCAGTTGTTTTGATGGACATAGTAATTCTGTCCTTGTGGACAGTGGAGCCCATTCCTGTGCCTCCCTTGAGGTATCTTCTCATACTTCTGAAACAATCACAAGAATAATCTTAATCCCTTAATGACAATAATTAATTTAATTACAAAATTAAAGTTTTGCTGGCTAGATTATTTCACAATGTTATTCTTGAAGGATCAATTTGTCTTTACCGCAGTCTAAAGTAAAACATCTATTCTTTCTTTCTTCTTTCTATTCTATATTTTTCATATATGTTACATATATTGCCTTATATGTTAGCTTTTAATGTGAATATTGTACATCTCCCTTCTACTATAATAACCCAACTCATGTAAATGTGTGTTTCTGTAAATAACATAGGCATGTAGGAAAGTGTGCACGTAAGAATGTTTACATGTAGGAAAATGTGCACGTAAGAATGTTTACATGTGTCCACATCTCATTTAGCTCTCACGTTTTAGTTCACGGTTACAGGTCTGATGTGTATTTTTTGTGGAATGATTATGTTGACTGCACTAACGCCCAAATCCAAAATTAAACCATAGTTTATAAGCTGACAAGGGAAGATGGAGCAGAGGGAAGGGAGCTGTTCAGCTTCTGCATGGTAATTGCAGAGAAGTTTATGCAGATCAAATGCCCTTGGCACCAGTGCCGTGGGCTCCAGGAGCTCCTACTGCACTGTGACAAAATCTGTTTATTATATAATGTCTATGTATGCTGACACCACACTTAGATGGAAGCTTATGAAATTTAATATTAACGTTCACCGTCTCTTTTTGTTGCTTTATTCTTAGTTACCTATTGTAACTAGTTATTTCAAAGTTTATAAGCAGTGGATGTAAATAGCCACACTACAGTTCCAAAAGAATAAAGTTCATGTTGTTGCTGTACTTGTCCAAGGTTCACATTTTTGTGAGGTGTTCCCCATATGCCCGTGTTTGAACACTTGGTCTCCAGCTGATGGCTGTTTTGGAGGTTGTGGGAACTTTGGGAGGTGAAGCCTTGCTGGAGGAAGCATGTCACTGGTGGGTGGGCTTTGAGGGTTTATAGCCAATTCTGCTTGTTCTGTTTCTTTTGTGCAGGTAAAATGTGATCAGTGCTTCCTAACTGCTAGGCCTGTTAGGCCTGCTCTTCCCTTGCTTTTTGTCAAGGCCTTGTGTTTAGGGAGACACCATAACCACGCCTCCTAACGGCTAGCTACAGGTGTGCCTGACCACGCCCATCAGGGGTTGTCAAGGTGGTGTCAGGGTGACATGGGAGAGGTTTAAAGGGATAGACAAGGCACATGGTAGCTCTCTTTCCTTGCTACTTTGGCGCTCTGTCTTCCTGTTGGTTGGCGTTTACCTATTAAAAGATATCCTGACCTTCTGGGCCAGGCATTAGTCAGTCACTGTAATAATTGTGTCATGCAGCAACAGAAAAGTAACCAATACAGTGCCTTCCACTTATTTATTTGGAATAGAGCCCTATTTAATTATGGAAGTGAAGGAAATTATTTCAATTACTGTAGTGATATTTATGATTTATGAAAGCTTGCCTGAGGGTTCAGAAAGCAAAGTCAGCACACACCTTTAATCCCAGCAGCCAGAAGCTAGGAGGTGGTGGTATACACCTAATCCTAGGACTCAGGATTAAGAAATAGATGGATCTCTGTGAATCCAATATCTACACAGATCTACACAGAGTGAATCAGCCTAAAAGATAATTATAGCTCACACCTTTTACCCCAACATTAGGGAAGTAGCTAAGACAGAAGCAAGGTCTCATAGAGGCATTCGTTCTCCAGCCATGCTGAGAAAAGGCAGCAGTTTGAGATTCGGTGAAGAGCTCATGCGTGGATCAGCCCTTTCAGCCTGAGCTAGAGGTGAGAGTTAGTGGCTGGCTGCTTTGCTTGTCTGATATTCAGCTTGAAGCTTGAACCCCAATATCAGTCTCTGGGTCATTTATTTTTTTGTGTTACAAATTACCACATGATTTAATTTGCATTACTTGCAAAAGCTCTGTATTGGTTTCCTAGCTGTGCTGAAAGATATCCCCATAGACTGAGTGGGCCAAAATGACCACAACTTATTTTCTACAGTTTCAGAGGTTGCCAGTTCAGAATCAAGCAGCAGGTAAGAAAGGAAAGGAGAGAAGGATAGGTAAAGATGAATTAATGGGCACAGAGGGCTAAAGTCGCCAGTGAGTGAGCCCATGGAGGTATTTGTCCCTCTTTCTCCAGCTCACTGGGAGGCTTGTGCAATGAGCTTAACATATTCCCAAGAGTCCTTGGCAGGCTCACAAGATGGGATCCTTGCTGGGAAGATCAGAGACTTGTATCAGGTTTAAGCCTTGGCACTCTTACGTTTTCATTGTGAAACCGCACATGCTAGCAAACTCAGTATCCTTATTTAGAATGTGACCGTTACCAATCGTTTGTCAGGATGAACAAACGATTGCTTGTGAAATAAGCAATGGGAACATGGTGATGCCTCTCACACTGCCTTTCTTCATCTCCCTCATTTTTCACTCTTCTCCCTTGACCTTGCCTGTCTAAAATAGCAATATACCAGCTGCAGGCTCGTTCCTTTGGAGTACAAGCCTTGACAAGATTTTTAAAATGTACTTTCTACCAGAACAAATATTTACAGGGCAGAAAAAAAATGTATAATTTAGGGGAGCCTTTATTAGAACAGTAAAAACAATGCTAACATAAAACACAACCATGAAAGATCTCATCTTTGTGTCCTGTCAGCAATATTAATGCTCTAAAATGTCTCAGATTGGACAAAATCATGGCCACTTTTAAAATAATAATAATGAAATTTTAAAACAAGGAAAAGGGCATACCAAGCTAATGAAAAAGATAAGTCTTAACATTTGGTAAATTTAGCACTTTGCACACAGAATGGTAAAGGGGCTGTTCTGGTGAAGACAGTAGTTCCTAGTTCCTTCCATCACAACCATCACTGCTCTGCATTACAGCACAAATTGAGAGACAACTTTGAGGATTGTATGAAATAGAAACACATAGTATAAAGAAATTTTAAATCATGTTCCCTGAGCCATGACAATGCAAATGCATAAAAGGTAAATATGTGGGAAATGGGAACACTGCATATAATTAATAACAGTGTGTCTAGATCAAGATCCATATGTTGAAAATAAAAACAAAATTTAATTTGTTGTCCATCTGTGGAACATTTCTAAAAGTGATTATATTGTACTATCAAGAAGGAAAATAAAAACTTAAACCCTAAAAGCAGTTTCTCTGATTGTAACTACACGTTTAAGTGAAAAACAAAACTTTGAGTCTGGAGAGATGGATCAATGGGTAAAAGTGTTTGTCATGCAAGCATGAGGACCTGAGTTCAAATCCCTAGAACCCATGTGAAAAGCAAGACACATTAGTTTGAACAACTACATCCTAGCATTCCTACTGGGAGACTAAAGATGGAGACGAGTCCCTGGGAACTTGCAGGGCAGGTAGCATGGCTTACGAAGGAGATCAACAGACACACGACTTACAGAGGTACACCAGGACTGTCACCTCTGCATGTGCAGAATACACATACATGAATGCACACACACACTGTCCATACAAGTATGTGCATATGTGTGCATGCACACACAGACACAGAAAACTGTTGAGATAAGAGAAAAGCCCCACTAGCTATAAAAAAAGAAAAAAAAAAAAAAAAAAAACAGGAACCAGGAAATCAAACCTGAAAGTAGCACTTTCCCCACGGAGCCTTCTTTCCAGACCCCAGTGGGATGATCATTATTAGTCTAGAGAACAGGCCCGGTGTGATCTCGAGAGTCTTTAAAAGAAACAGGCAAAAGAGTGAACAACTTGATTAGCTAATGTTCTCTTTCAAGACAGAAGAGAGCCACAGATGAAGGGGTGTGGAGCATCTGTAGAAGAAGAACCAGACTCTCCCCAGAGGAAAATGACTTCATTTCCATTTTAGACCATTCCACATCTCTGCCAGAATTGTAATAGAATAAAATTGTGTGGCATTAAGGTTGTTATACTGTGTTGCAGCAACAGTAGAAAATGTAGTACTTTTCTCTGGTCTAATTTTCTTCCACCTTCTGGGTAAAATTGGCAGTGATACCCTCAATGATAGTTGAGCCACAAGGTGGAAGGATCCGGGGCCTCTCACTCAACAAGCAATGCAAAGGTATCCACTGAGTATGAACACAAGCCCTGAACTCTTATGCAAGAAATAAACCCTGTTATGGTTGAACCGCAACGTGTTACAAACTTACACTTAAAGAATAATAGCTGGGTCCCAAGAATAGTTAATTTAAAAAACACAAAATATTCTATACTAATTATTACCATCCACCATTAGCACTGAGTGGAAATAAACTCTCTGGTTTATAAACTCAGGATAATTTTTTTTTTTTGAAGAGGAGATGAGAATTTTTCCATTACAGTCCCCAAACATGGAAATATTGTAGGTCACCAAAATTGGCTCAGATGTTAAAATTATTGAGCTGTTTCCCGCCAACTGGATTTAGGTTCAGCACTCAATTATGATTATGAATGGCTTTCTGGTATCGGCACTATGCTCAGGTATTAATACCATTAGTACAGGACAGGAAATGACATTTAAATAAGCATGTTTCTTTTAGGTGTATTAAACTAACTACAAATAGAAATAATGTCTTCATTAATATTTATTTCTAGCATTATATACAATGTAGTTTTGAGACTTACATGTGCCACCATATAGAGGACCATTTTGGTTATTTTTAAAAGTATTTTTGATGTTCTGTCAGTGTGAAGTTCTTCTTTGTGAAAGAACTGGCCAGTGTTCATTTCTATTTTTGGTGTGTTAAAGGATAGCTTGCTCTTTGAGGACTGTATTCTTGCACACTCCTTGCTGACATTAGTTTTGCTGACCCACTCTCCTGAGTGTTGAGCCTGAGAGGAGACTTTGGTTTGCTGAAATATTCTGTAACAGGTATTTTCATGTTGTTTTTTCTTATAATCATTGAGGTCTCAGGCCCTGAAATAGAAAAAAATGTAAATAAGACTATAATTGAAAGACTGAATATAGCTTCAGCCTTGTTTTATTAGTGAGTGGTGTGGGGTTAAAAGCAAAACAGACATGAAGGGTAATTAATCAAAAACACTCAACAGTCATAACAGAATCGATTGGTTTTTACCGTGTTCACCTTCAATGAGATATTTGTGCCAGCATACATGATCTGTTTTCTCGGTCTTAGAGGTGATGGTGGGATGGTTTAGAGTTGTTGATGTGTGAGGGTGTTGGGGCAGGGACTGGGCCAGTGAGATAAGGATCTGTTATCCCGACGGGTAAAGCAAGAGAACAGACACACATCTTGGCACAATTTAACTGCACACCTCAGACCTTTTCAAAGCCCACATGGTCACTCTTAGCCAGGAGCAGGTTTGGAGATGCTTGAATGTCAACTGTGGAGAGAAGCAGTGTGATCTGGAGATCGCTGTTTTTAAAAGTCTGGGCATCTTGGCAGGGCCATCAGCAAGACTCATGGGTGAATAGAACTCTCATGTACTTACTGTCCCCCTAGAGTGAGGCATCTGGTGGGAGAGGCCAGGTGGAGAGGCCCCCTCCTTGGAGCAAGAGGCAGGATATGCTTTCCGATCCCAGGCACACTGACTGCTTGTTAACATACAGAGCCACTTTGGGTTTAGTGGACTCCATGGGAAAGTGACACTATCTAACGGGACCCCAAGGAATTCTATTTGATGAACCCCTCATTTCTGGTTAAGGGCAATGTGGAGAAACAAGATAGATTTTGTATTTGAGGCATACAGATATACTTGACAATTGCCCTGAAGTCATTGATGCAGTTCTTGTTTTAATGCTGGGAGCTGCAAGCCTGCAGAGTGGCTACTGTTGGACTATCCAGGACCAGTGTGGGCTTTCTACAATGATCGAGTCTTTCTGGTACTGGGCTTCTGATTGGGGCACACTAGTTTGCAGCTGCCTCATAGGACACCTGTTTGTGACTGTTTCAATTGTATTCTGTTCTGCTTGGTGTTCTTTACAGTAGAATCATTTAGGTCCATGACAGTTAAGCTGAGCAGAGTAAACCAGGGAAGTCACTGTCTCTGTGTGCATCAGCATCCTTTACAATGAATGGGAGTGACTGCAGCCCCTACTGTCTGACTGTTGCTTTTCAGAGTGTTTGGTCCCAAAGACAGAGTTTTTTCAGATTTATCTTACACAAAATTGAGCAGATATGCTTTAGAGGAGTGGGGCTGAAAGCCACTCCTAAACCTCAGGGATTGCCCTTCGAAAGCCAAGATCCTTAGCACCCAGGCCCCTAAGTAGTCAGTACCTACTGATTTCCTTATATCACCTGAAAATCACCACAAACTGTACTTAACCTTGTGATACTGCCTTATTGCCTTCGGGTCCTTGACTTGACATTCTAAATCAATTGGAGAAAGAAAAAGAATTTGAGCTATAGCAGCAGACAGGGAAGGCATCAGCAAGCTAATAGCGTCTATCTTAAATGTGCTAGCCCATCCTTGGCATAAATTACTTACCAGTGACTACTTACTTTGAGCAAATATCTAACAGGCCTATCATAAGCCACTCACTGAAGAGGAGGTCAGCTCTTACTAGGTCCTACTTTCTGACTTCACAGAAACTTAATGGTGCAGACAGAATGTATACTTTTTAAAGTGGCATTGTTTTTTTTTTTTAATCACATTATTTCTGTGACTTTGCATTTAACCCAACTTTTAATTTTAAACCAACAGAATTTTCTCTCCCAGCCTAACACTCATTCCTTAAACATGTTACACATAAATATATGTGTGTTTCTTTTGTTTGTTTTGCTTTTGAGACAAGGTCTTGCTGTGTAGTCCAGGATACCTTTAAATTTTAAATTATTTACTGTAAATTTGCAAAACTCCTGCTTTAGTTTCCTCAGTGTTGAGATTACAGATATCTATTTACCACCACACCCAGCTGTTCTGTTAAAATTGTGTGATTTAAGAAATACTGCTTCTAAAACAATTTCCAAATGGCTTAGTGATTTATTCTTGTCTCCGTTGCTTTACATTAAAATCCATACCTCTATAATACTAGCATTTAACAAAATATGTGGAACACTAATAATAGTTTCAGTCTCCTTTATGGTTTGCATGTTTAAACTTTTTAAAGCCCTTGGGACTAGAAAGATGGCTCAATGGTTAAGAAAACTTACAGTTCTTGTAGAGAACCCAAGTTTGGTTCTCAAGCTAACAACTTCCCATGAATCTGCTATAGGGTTATCTGATGCCCTCTTCTGGCTTCTGTGGGCACTGCACTCTTTTACACACACACACACACACACACACACACACACACACACACTTAAAAATAACCTTAAAAAACCCTGTTTTAGATCCTTATATTTTCTTAGATCTCTAGATGTCTAGTCTTACTTTGCCAGTAGTGGAAAGGGAATTTGCTTCAAAAGAAAAAGGTTATTTATTAGCTAAAGAACATAGCCTCTGCCAAAATGTTCTGAACAGTGGAACTGAGAATATCTTTGTTATTATGTATGAAAATGAAAGAAACAATTACATAACGTGCAGTCACTCACTAGATAGAGTTGAGACCTAAAACCTCAGCATGATTAGCAGTTGAAAGAGGAAACAAGAAAGTGTGACATCTTTATGCACAGAGGAACCCTGGGTGGCCTCCATATTTAATCACCTGGGTGGCTGATGTCCTTCTCTGGCTCTGCTCAGCACTTTAGATTTTGCCGGTGAAGTTTGCATTGCTTTGGGTGTGGCTGGTGTTACAGCCTTGGATGGCTTCCTGGGCTCTGCCACTGGTTCTGCTGGGGTATTTCTTTCTGGACAAGTCAGCAGGTTAATTTCAGCTATTTCAGAATGAACCATAGCCGACACCCACTCCTTTTCTGATTGGGAAAAAGGTTGAGAGCATGAAAGTTACTATTGTCATATTGACTAGAAATGCAGATTTGTCCCTTTTTAAGTTAGTAATGGGTTTCATTATGGCATCGTCAGACATTTATAGCATTTCAATTTGTTCTTTTTCACTCCCTTTCCCCTCCCATCTCTCCTGCGTGCCTTCTGCTGGTCCACTGTGTGCTAGCTTAGATGTACTGTGTCCACACCCCCCCCACACACAAATATACACACATATGTACATTTACAAAAAGAAGATGATATTACTTGGATAATTTGTTAAATGTCACATTCTTTTATTCCTTCCATAGAAAATTGCTCCCAAGCACTTTGCAATTATAAAGTAGTTTTGAACTCTATGGCAGGGTACTAGTTTTCCAAAGTGCTCCTCATTCTCAGAGAGTGCTCCCCAGACCAAAGTCACCCATCAGCACATACCAGGGACAGCCCAAGAGATAGCAGGCATTAGCTAAGATTAAATCATCATAGCTATTGGGAGTCTGAAACATGGAAGGCCATGCTGCCACTATCCACTTGAAAGGAAAGAAGCAAGTATATGTTCAGATTTCACAACAGGCTAGAGGATGTGGTCATGGAGAGCCCTGGTGTAAGAAGCATGGTGGAAGGCTGGTGAAACCCACAGAAACAGCTGAGCTGAACAACAAGGAGCTCTTGGTTCCCAAACTGATAGCTGGGAAACCAGCATGGGACTGATCCAGACCCCAGGAATTCGGGTGTCAATGAGGAGACCTCGGAAATCTACGGGGCCTCCTGTAGTAGATCAGTACTTATCCCTAGCATAGGTGTGGACTTTGGGAGCCCCTTCCCCATAGAGGGATATTCCCTAAGCGAAGACACACGGGCTTGGGCCTAGGCCCTATCCCAAAGGATATGATAGATCTGATGACACCCCATGGAAGGCCTCACCCTCCTTGGGGAGCAGAAAGGGTACATGATAGAGGTAGGGTTTTGGTTAGCGGGGAGGTGGTAGGGGAGGGAGAGGGAACTGGGATTGACATGTAAAACAATCTTGTTTCTAATTCAAATTTAAAAAAGGAAAAAAGAAGCTGGGCGTTGGTGGTGCACGCCTTTAATCCCAGCACTTGGGAGGAGACCAGCCTGGTCTACAAGAGCGAGTACCAGGACAGCCTCCAAAGCCACAGAGAAACCCTGTCTCGAAAAACCAAAAAAAAGAAAAAAGAAAAAAGAAGAAGAAGAAGAAGAAGAAGAAGAAGAAGAAGAAGAAGAAGAAGAAGAAGAAGAAGAAGAAGAAGCAGAAGCAGGAGCAGCAGGAGCAGCAGGGTGGAGATGCAGAAACCATCCTTAGCTGAGAATACGAGCAGGAGCAGCAGGAGCAGGAGCAGCAGGGTGGAGATGCAGAAACCATCCTTAGCTGAGAATACCTGTTTCCTGTTACCGTGATGAGTTCAGTTTGAGATACACTGCACTGTTGATTATCTGAATGGCCAGCACGCATGCAGGTAGGTGTACAGGCTTACAGGGGACTCTGGTAAGGAACTCTGGGCAAACAATTTTGCACTATTTATTTGCAGACCCCAGGTAGGAAGCTTCAGTTTGGCACACTCATCGTCTCCTTCGATATCCGACGATAACCCTTGGTCAGTGCCTGCAAAGCTCCTTTTAACCTCACCTTTGTTACTTGCATGAACCAGCCACTGCAGGACCTCTGCCAGCGAATCGGTATGTAAGATTTCACAGAGCTTTGCCAGGATCTGACGGGGAACACATAGTGAGGAAGTAAATGGCACCGGACTCACAAGCTTTTCCTGCCTCTCTTTAGAAAGTCACTCTGGGTACATGATACTTGGGTCGTTTGGGATCTGGTTTGAGGGCTACCTTCCAAACAGTGCAGAATCTAGTCAGTGAAAACATGGCCAGTTCAAGCGATGTTTATTGTTTGTCATGCTGTGTCTATTCGATTCTAACATGTTAGGAGCAACTTACTTCAGGAAATGGACCCCTGATGCAGGCTTCTGAGGGTTGAAAGAGGAAACTGCTAGTCACAGAAGTCATCCATCTGACTGCTGCTCTCCTTAGTGTGGCTAAGAAGGATGTCACTTGAGCTGGATGGTGTCTCAATTTTTTGACTACAGTGTTGAGCCCACTGAGACAGGAACCTAAATCTCTTCCGTCAGTGAGAATCCATACTTGAGGTTGTGGGAGGGGATTTTGTGTGTTTGCTGTTTTTTGTTTGTTTGTTTGGTTTGGTTTGTTTTTTGCCTTTTTGCCTCCTGAAGCTACAGGCCTTTCCTTCGGACATTGTCCGTCCCTTTTGAAGAACCACTGTAAGATGAGAGCCTTTGCCCTTTAAACACTTTACAGATAGTGTTCCATTGTTGTGGGTTGTGCAGTTTTCTGCTAGGAAGTCGTTAGTCATCATAGTTTTCAGCAGCTGGGTTTTGATTCTTAGAAGCAATTTACTGTGAGTTTATCTTTCTTAGGTTTAAGTTTCTGTCAACTTTAGAAGAATGTTAGCTTCCATCTCTCCCCATGATTTCTGTGCTCTAATCTTTACTACTTCTGAGACCCCTATTTTCTCATAGGCCAATAGGCTTGTTTATATTTTTATATCTACTTTAGGTAGTTTTATTGCTCTGGATTTAAATTTGTTAATATTTATGTATATGGTGTGTGTATATGTATATATGCAAGCATGTGTGCACATATGTGCACAAGCATGTGAAGCCAGAGGTTGACATTGGGTGTTTCCTTCAGTCACTCTCCCCAGCTGTAGGATCATGGTAACTCCATTCTTCAGGTATGAAATTTCTGGCTCTCATCTGAGCTAGCAAGGGTTAACATTGCACCTAAGACTCAGTGGGACCCTGTGCATGTTCCTGGAGCTTGAAGAAGATTTTTCTTCATCTTCCTACTTTGCAAATTCCAGCTGCCTCAGCATCCCCAAACGCCAAACTGTTCCCTGTAGAGAAGCCCACTGCACTGTGGTTGTCACTTCTGTAGACCATGGTTAGGAAAGTGCCCTAGCAGAAGCCTGAGATGAATGTAGTAATCACCCAGATTCACAGTCATGAAGCTGTACTGTCTGTTACCAAATACCTAAAAACAGCTTTTTAATGCTTATTTATTGCTTATTTTAATGCTTATTATTATATATTCGTAAATCCTAAGTGAATCTATCATTTTATCATCTATTATCTGTCAGTGTCACACACCTGTGACATTGCTGCTCACTATCGTGTGTGTGTGTGTGTGTGTGTGTGTGTGTGTGTGTGTGTGCTTGCGTGCACGCCTGCTGTTTCTGAGCTATGGATTTAATAAAGCTGCCTCTTACTTTTATCTCCTGATTCAGATAGTTTGGTATGCACACGGTATTTTCATTCCCATCAGTCTTGGTGTTCATCCCTTCTGAGAACTGGGAGCCAGCAGCAGAGCACATCCGTGAAGGCACTAGTGACTTTTTGGCTTTTGATTCATCCTAAATCAAAGATATAGTATGATTGGCATGCATTTTTGCACATGTAGTTTCTATATAAATTAAATGTAAAATTAATGAGAAGCATTTACCTTTGCTTACATTTTAATTAAACTCTCCTCTCTCTCTCTCTCTCTCTCTCTCTCTCTCTCTCTCTCTCTCTCTCTCTCTCTCTCTCTCTCTCGTGTGTGTGTGTGTGTGTGTGTGTGTGTGTGTGTGTTTGTGTGTGTTGCCATGCACATGAGCATAGCATGGTGCATGTGTGGTCCCAGGCCAACTTTCAGGATTCGGTTTGCGCTAAGCTTACACCACGTGAGTCCTGGGGGTCCACCACACGTCACTAGGCTTGGCAGCAAGGGCTTTTACATGTAGACCCATCTCACAGGCCAGAGAAACAGTTATCTTTAATAAGCGAACCATACAAGCAAAACCGATGTTAATAATTTTAAATCTGTTTAAAGTGTCCTTTAAACTCTACCAAGCATTTGGAGACAAAGCAGATAGTGACATATAATTGACTGTTGTTGAAATCATTTAAAGCCCTTGATGAACTAAAGATAATAATATAAATGCTGAATGGGAAGTTGCTGTTCCAGGCAGCAATCAGCTCCTCCCTCGTGAGCTTTGTGTTGCCTTGGGGAAGATTCCCCTTTATCACCAGGAAGGTAGGTGAGAAGATTTGTGTTTTGTCTGCAAAGGAACTTCATTGTGTGAGCTGTGCTATCTTGCTCTGCTAAAAGCTGGGGATTTGGAATTGGGAACTAATTTTCTTCTCTTTATTAGCTGAGTAGGAAATAAAAAGGCCTGTGGTGGGGTGGCCTGGAGGTACAGTCTGTAGTGCAAGCAGCAGCAACAACAACAAAAGACTATGGAGACTTTGTGTCCAAAGAGCTAGAAGCTTTGGTTCTCAGTGCCTGTTCCCTCAGCTGTTGCTTGACCCACACAGCAAGCTAATGAGGAAATGAATCCACCTGGACTTGAGACACCCAGAAGGACAGAAGAGCAGTTAACTGCCGGCAGTGGTGACAGCAGAGCTGAACATATGCAGATTCATTCGCTTTGAAAAGTTCTCATGCATACACTAACTGTTTTGCTCCAACTCCTCTCATTGAACATAACTGAAATATCTGATTGACATTTTAAAAATAAATAGAAGAATCAGAATGTATAGGACAATAAGGAATTAACAGGTCAAAAGTAAAGGGGAAGTAAGAAGCAAAAATTCATTAAATGTAGCAGATATTTTTGCCTTGAGATCATTGTATGGTAATGGCAATAAGAACTTTTTCTTTTGACAACCTGAAACTGTCTGAAAGACAGATCTCAAAGCTCAAGGACAGCCACCTGAGAACATGTCTCCAAGAGGAAGGTGACCTAGTCCTGCAACAGTCCTTGAATAAGATCAATGAGACAGGAACAAAACCAAAACACTGATGATGACTGATGAAGTTAAATATTTATTCTTAGGGAAGATGAACAGAACTTGTAAGCCATTGTGCTGGCTAGTTTTATGTCAACTTGATGCAAGCTATACTTATCTGAAAGGACCAAATCTCAATTAAGAAAATGCCTCCATAAGATCCAGCTATAAGGCATTTTCATAATAAGTGATTTATGGGGGAGGGCCCAGCCCACTGTGGGTGGGGCCAGCCCTAGGCTGGTGGTTCTGGGGTCTCTGAGAAAGCAGGGTGAGCAAGCCACGAGGAGCAAGGCAATAAACTGCCCCCGCCATGGCCTCTGCATCAGCTCCTGCGCCTCCAGCTTCCTGCCCTGTTTGAGTTCCTGCCCTCAGTGCTTTTAATGATGAACTGTTATATGGAACTGTGAGTGAAATAAGCCCTTTCTTCCCCAAGTTGCTTTTGGTCATGGTGTTCATCACAGCAAAGATAATCCTATGATACACATCAAAGATGGAAAAACAAGAAGTGCCAGTATTAGGGATGAGAAGACAATTATGCAGATGTAAAGTCATAGAAAAGTACTCTTTAAACAAATGTGTCAGTAAATCTTAAAAGTAAAATGAAATAAATTTCTTGAAAAAAATGCAAGCTGCCTAAGTTCACTAAAGAAACAAACAACATATAAGTCAATCTTCTATCTATGAGAAAATGTTGAATTCTTACTTTAAACTTTTAACTGGAGGGAAACTTCAAGCCTAGATGACTTTACTTAAAGATTCTAGCCATTAACTCTGTATAAAATTCTCTAGAATATTAGAGTTCCCAACTTATTATATTGTGCCCACATTGCCCTGAAAGCAAACCTGAAAAAGATATTATAAGAAAATGTTTTATAATATTATATAAGTATATAATACGATACAACAAATTTGCATATACTATATATTATATTAGTAAATATTAATATAATTATATCATAATATATTACAAATGTTTCTTACAAACAAGGACACACAAATATTAAACAGTATTTTATAAAATGTAGTAGTGAAAAGAATAACACAGTAGAGACTTTAACCAAGAATGCAAGGATGGTTTAATACTGGAAAATGAACCTATGTAATTCACTGTATTAGTAACCTGAAAAAAAATCATAGGATCATCTCAAATGCAGAAAAATTGCTTGGCAAAATTCATCTTCCATGTCTGATAAAGCACTGGAAATAGAAGGAAGCTGCCTCAGTTACGTATGGGCATCTGAGCAGAGAGCACCAACACTGTGCTTCTGGATGAAAGTCTGGATGCTCCCTCTTATAAGTATCAAGGCTGCCAACTCTCCTGTTTCTAGTTAACACTGCACCAGAGGTTTGGCCATCCCAGAAAAGTAAACCAGACACAGGCAGCGTGCAAATTTGAAAACATAATAGGAACATTAGAAATTAAGGCCTTACCCAAAATAACTTTTTTTTCTTTTGAGGAAACCTTGAAACAAAAAAGCAATGTTCAGATTTAAAGAAAACACCTGCAAAACACACGTAGCAAAAGATTTATATAGACTATGCAGGAAGCTCTCATGTCACAATTACAAAAAAGCCAACAACTCAACAGGCCATAAAAGGTCACATAGATGACAGGGGGGACGCAGGAAGAAGGGGGAAGCAGCCGTCTGATGGGAGATGTTATTCTGTATATGTTTCTCTTACTGGTTGATGAATAAAACACTGATTGGTCAGACAGGAAGATAGGCGGGGCTAGGAAAGAGAGGAGAATTCCGGGAAGTGTAGGCAGAGAGGAGTCTTGATGTGAGCCCGGGAAGAGAGGACACCAAGGCTCCGGTGAGCCAAGACCATATAGAAATACATAGATTAGTAGTTATGGGTTAATGGTTAAGACAGAATTAGTCAATAAGAAGCCCAAGCAACCGGCCAGCAGTTTCATAATTAATATAAATCTTTGTGTGATTATTTGGGGCCGACATGGCTGTGGGACCAGTCCAACAGGAAAGAGTGCTCGTTACAGTCATCTTCATCAGTTGTGAGAAAAAAGTCAAAACTAAAACCACACCAGGAACACACAACTAGACCCCTGCGTTAGCCTTGTTGGTTTGTTTGAAGACAGTAGTCACACTTCAGCCTCCTTTATGCTAGGAACAACACTTCACTTCTATTAGCTAAAAACTAAACCAATCATTTACATTTCAGGAAGTGAAGAAAAGGAAAGTGGAAAACAACTTGGCCATTCCTTTAAGATGCGGACACAAAACCACTGTAAGCATCAGTTGTTGTACATGCAGGGATTGACTGGGAGGGAAGCCAAGTGTGGCGGTACACTTGGTGTGAGTGTTCATCTTAGCTTTGTGAAGAGGCGGACATGACCGATGCCCTTCGACAGCCAGCTGGGTTCACAACTGTGAGAAGAGCAAGCCTGAGTCCCTTGGCGTTAAGAAGAATCAACATGGCAACATGGGTGGGTCTTGGAATACTCTGCCCTGCTGAGTGAAAGCAGACTTTGAAAGTGAACTTGCATGGGGCCTCATTTACTTAAAAGTTAGAAGTCTGTGCCACTTTAGTGACACAAAGCAGATCAGGAATCCCAGGGAGCTGGTAGACGCGTGCTTGCTCCAGACTTTGGTATTGCTTCACCAGGGGTTGCAGATGTACTTGTCAAGGTCCATCAAATTGTGCATGAGGGCTGGGTGATAAAAACACCTTATATCAAAAGCTATACTTCA